TGAATAATGATTATTAATGAAAATTTATAATATTGTATGTTATGTATATAACTGTATACCCATATTTTTATTCCCTATTATAGATTATAAACTATTATCCTTCTCACAAAATATATAGTAACTAGAAAATAACTCGCTGAAATTTTGATTTCTACACATACAAATTTTCAAAAAAATTATCCTCTTAATAATTTACAGTAAACGAGGAGGGGGGTTCTCATTTGAAAAATAAAAGTTTGTATCACTAAATCTCAAGAATTTGAAAATAAAGTCTTTATTGAGTTTATTTAAAGATTCCAAAAATCAGATTTTGAAACTTGATTATTAAAGAAAATGGGACTGAGCATGCTTGGTGAATTACACTGTATGTTTATATTTATAACTATCTACTATTTTAACAATATATTGATACTATACTATACTATACTGATTATCAAGTATATACTTGTTATGTATGTATTATATTTATAAAGACCTCTAATTCTTTAAATAAAGACACCATACGTCTGAGGGTAGATTAAAAAAATGTATACATAYAAACCATGTGTGGGAGTTCTACACAACTTTTTTAGTCATTAATCTTCATATCAACCATATCAAATATGAAATAGTAGGTACCATACGACAACATATTTTATGAAAGGCTGAAACGCATGTAATTTCTTGCATATAAATATGGTGAAGAGAGGGATACCCAAAATACCCTTCTAGCTATGCCACTGTTTCTACCTGAGATATGAAAAATAAAATACCTACTGTAGAATAGACTGCTATAATAAGAACCCATAGAATATAAATTATGATAGTCTTGCGGCGATGTTACTTTTATATTCCAGCAAATCCCAGCGTAATAATTATTATGCGTAAGAGTCTAGTGCTGTGTTGAGAAATTTTCCACCCGACAGCAAATTACATGATGCAGCTCTTTATTATACCCTCTTATATCTGTCAAAAAGTTTAAAACTGAGGTAATTAACATTTATAAAATATTTTGGAGACGAGAAAACGTGTAATGAACGAACAAAGAATCAAAAAATACCCAAGTTGATATAGTAATAATAATTATTATTATTGTTAAAAATTAATAATTAACTTCGAATATGAGTATATATGCATAAGTTATAGATGCACAATAACGAGAGCGTAAATACTAAGTATAAAATATAAAATTTATATTAATAAGTAATAACTAACAATACATACTAACTTACCTACATTAAAATTGAACACGAACACTGTCAAGAGAGTAAATGAGCACTTGTAAGTAATAAGGTGCCATTTTATACTTGTATGGTTATCTGTTAGCTTATCATGATCATACTGTTGATTAATATTATAATCATTACCTACATCAGCATAAAATATGTATTATATATTTATACGTATAATATACGCGTTTACAATAGACAGTGTATTGGTTACCTACAGTGGCGTGGCGAACTTCATTAAGTTATGAGGCACAAGTTATATTGTCAGACCCACCACCCATCACAAAAAACATAAAAAAAATTTTAATGATAAAATATATTTATTTATTTAAATAATAATGATTTTTTTTAACATATAGGATGATTTTCCCCATAATGTTATAGTCTCTTCATAATCAATTTTGATGTCTCTTTCACAGCTCAAAAACATTAAGCTTTCCAAACGTCCCTGATCCATTGTAGAACGTAAACGTGTTTTAATAAGTTTAACCTGAAAATAATAATAAGTGTAATTAGTGATAAATTTACTGTTTAAAATAATATAATTGTAAATTTCTGAAAAGGTAAGTTATTATAAATACTATGAGACCTTCACAAAAATCTTAGACTCTATATTCAATTTTAAACTTTCACCCCATAGAAGTAAAAAATAAAATCTAAAATCCAAACCTTTATAATACCAAGCAAGGCAATTAAATATATAGATTTTAATTAAAATCTTAGGGATTGAGAAAATGTATATTTTAGAAGCATAAGAATCAACAATCAAACTTACTTTGGAAAATGATCTTTCTGCAGATGCTGATGTAAATRGTATAGTCCCTAAGACTTTGTATGCTATATACAAATTGGGAAACGCTGCTGACAAATCATACTTGGATAATGTACGAGAAATATGTATAAAGAATAGTACTAACACCAATTTTTGTCATATTAATTTGTTCATCTTCAGTTATATTTTTTTTCTTCTTCTTCAGAACTTTCACTTTCTACTGATTTAGATTGTAAGTAGTTTGATAGTGGTGTTGTAACTGAAAATATTTTTCTTAATAATATCATTGTTATAACAAAATCAAACGATGATATTACATTCAAAAAATTTTTTGCACCAGATGATGTAACTCTGTCAGTTGACTTAAGTAAACATTCTAAAGTTTCATATAATGCTTTATATTTTTCAAAAATAACAATGATAACACGGTCATGAGAAGTCCACTCGATGTGGAAAATTATCTTATTCTACGGATTCTTTCAGTAGGATAAATGAGTTTTTGGTACTTAACAAACTCAGATGTTCTCTTTCTAGCTCTCATAAATCCAATTAATGCTTGAAGATCACCAAGAAATTGTCTAGTGTGTACACTAGAATCAGCTGTATCTACGATAACTAAATTTAAGCGGTGTGCAAAACACCATATGTATTTAGCCCTTGGATTTTCTTGTTGAATCAATGTGCGGAGGCCTGAATATTCGCCTTGCATCGATGCTGCTCCGTCATATGATTGAGCATATCTCGTAATTGTTCTTTCCAATTCAAATCATATTTTTCAGAAATATTACAAAATACTTCAAAATAGGTAACTTACCTATATTTTATATGTATCTATGTACATATGAATTATATCTATATCTACATCCTAAGATTCATTTTCAAGGTCTCTACATTCAAAAGTTGGTTAAGCTTGCCACTTTCAATTTGCCTATCCCCTTCTTATAACACGATACTTAATGTGAGTATAATGTGTAAGACTATTTTAAAACTTACAGAATGAGATTTTTTTAAAACATCAAACTATGCATATTATTATGGACCACCGTAAGTGTTTTTCCTTTATAATACAAAGTATATAATATGTACTATTCACCCGTATTTGCCAAGTAAACTCCACGTGGTGTAAGATATATACCTACCTAATATGTAAAATTGAGACGACAATTTTGCTTTCACACGGCTCAGAGTCCACAGATATGTACAGCGTCCTGTGAACGATGATGAGATTGACATAATAATATTCATGCCATCACATACACAAACATACCCAAGTACATATATTTGAACAGGTGAGGTTAGATAAACTAAAGCTCCTTTTATGTACTGAAAATGGGCAAATAGTGGTCACATACATATATATATATATATAGGAACCTGATATTAATTAGGGCACAATTATGCAAATACCTAGGTACATCTGTAATATGAGTATTCGTTGTATCGGTGTCTGACTCCACGACTCGAAGACTCTCTATAGAGATATATAATAGCCATAACTTAACCAGCGTTTGAAGGCAATATTATTGTTCATKATGATTAATTCATAAACGGACAAACTTAAAACATTCCACTATTAAATAAATTGTTATTTAATATACATGTTAAAATTTTCCAAAAAATAGAATTAAATATTTAGATTTATTTAAAGTTATATTTGTACTAAACCAAATCTAACCAAAACGTTTGTAAAGTGTCAATTCACTCATAAGTTAAAATAATAAAATCGTTACATTATAATAATGTACGAAATTCTTTTCTTTTTTTTTGCTTAAAATAAGTTCAACTTACTGTATATTACTTATTGAAAAGAAAATTCTATAATTAAGTAATATAAATTAAAAATAAAAATAAAAATAATATAAAATATCCATAGAAGTATAAGATGATAAATGTAGTATAGTCATTAGTTTCCACTTTCAATTAGGTAGTATTGTTTTTCATTGTAAGTATACAATTATTATTTATCGTTGAATTTAAATTTATCGCATGTGTTACAATTGACAATGACCTACTCAATTAAGGGATACCTACATATATTACAGCAGAGTGACCTCGCTGGTAATTTTTTTTTATAAATTTTCAGCCCGAATTTTCATCACATCGCATGTAAATGTTCAGCTATTTTTACTCATATCGAATGTCTGCGGCCATTGCAATATAAAATATATTTTTTTTTTCTGGGAGGAACCCGTGGCAACACAGACCATTGGGTGTAAGATGGTTCGGTATTTAGTAGTTTGTAACACGTATTTGTGGATGTGTGGCAAGGATATGTTTCTAAAAATCCCAGGTGGTCACCCATTCGGCAGCTTGCAACTGCGACCAGTATGCTCAGTACGTTTCCGCAGATTGAACGTACCAGCGCGACTCACCAAGCCACATAATATTATTATGATACATTCTATTGCACAAAACCTATTCGTATCAATGCTCTCAAGTTACACTCAAAGTGTCCCGAACAATAAATTATCGTTTTGATAATATTACAGACGACCGGAATAACAATCACAATAATAATTATGTTATTAAACTTTAACTTAAAATCTGTACTGCTGACAAATTCGAGAGCTCTGATTCTTTTCACTGTGTACCGATATTGTTGTGATGCATAACTATACCTATCATATTAAACACAATATAACAATAACGATATGACTTTATTTTATAATTTCTGTGATTTTGAAAAAACGTTTATCGAAATTTGCTTTATACTTTTAAACAAACAATACCTACTTTATTGTTGTAAGCATATATTTAAAACGTAATTACTTAACTCTGGTATTGGTTAGTAAAAAGACAAGTTAATTTATTTTTAAAAAAGCATTGAGTATATCAACTACCGCAATTTATTTATTTGTAATGCAAACTAGGACTGTAATTACTTACTTTGTGTTTAACTTAACTAATGGAATAATAAAAAAAAATATTTAAATATAAAACAAATATTTGTACAATTCATTACCACCTATCTTTCAGTTTGACTGAGACAACCATACTTATATTGTATTTAATATATTTACCTTCGTGACGTTCCACATTTTTTAAAATCTCTGTTACAGAGCGAGTGCGTTTGTTCATAACCTTCAATGTGTTGGGACAACAGTTTTGGAAACAGTATGTGTTTTTCGTATCTGAAAAAAAATCACAATGCCATTATAGTTTTAATGAACATAATTGTATTATTATTTTTTTATTCGTGTTCAAGACAAATCGTGAACCGGTAAATATACTGTTCTCTTTGTTAATTATATTGTATAGATATTTTATTTTTTTCAACTGAACAAAAAAAGTATTTCAAATAATCAACATTCCGACACATATAATATTTATGTTTTGGATGAAATAATTGAATCAAAAATCATAAATACCTATGAGTACTTTAACTATGGGTAGCTTGACATTTAATTATGATATGGAAAAATATAAGCCACACTGAGTATAAGACATCGTAAGCTAGACATGATTTAAAAAAGGAAATAAACTAAGAGCTTTAAATTCAAATATAGGTAATAAATCATAGAGCTAAGAATGTTTATGTTTATATTTTATATTAATTGTCTGTATTAACTGGCAATTTATAGATTTGAGCTAATCAATAGTACTGTAGTATTAAAAGTATTGGTTTTACTAAGAAGTTACCATACATCATATTATTATTGTTTTCATATTTAAATATTGCACTGTATAAAGATTAGGAACCTATCATATTTATGAATTCAGACATTTTGGCTCTAAGGCGGTAGATAGGAAAAATCTTCATCACTAAAAACATTATTGTTCGAAGGTGGGCGATTCAGATGGTAGTCCCGTAGAAAAATGTGATTGATTTCTTTTTCTCAGGAAAATTAAAATTGAAATTAACATTGGAGGGACATATGCACCACTAGCTGAAAAGCATATTACTGCAGTAACCGTTTCTCCACGTTTAGCAGATGTTGAAATGCCAACCTGTCGTTTACTTTTAGTAGCTAATAATTTTGACTGTCCTTTTGGATTTACTGTGATACCAGTTCCATCGCAATTGTATATTCTATTCGCATTCAGCTTATATCTATCAATGCAACCAGTTTATAAATTGAAGAACTGAGTATAAGCTACTTTATTAAAACGTATAGCGCGAGCACCAGATGTGGTTTCAGGTGTGTCTTAATAAAAAACTATTCATCCAATCCTGACCAGCCATTCTATCAGCCTGATTAAAACGGTGAGAGCAACCAATTATTTCGGCAAACTGAAAAGCCAATTTACGAAAATCTAACATCGTAAACCCAAAAGTCTTTTTTCCATAGATTTCAAATAATCAACTAAATATTCTAGTTCCTGCTGTTCATTAAAAATACATTTATATTTTCCGCTGGTTTTATCAATTACAAAATCGGGATTTTCTTTTTTCTATTTTACATATCTCTCCAATGTTGTCTTTGGAACTGCAAATTGCTGAGCAGCTTTTTTGAAACCCATTTCTTTTTAAGTACAAGTGTACAACAGAAATGGCTTTATCCATACTTTCGGTTGGTACAACAATTATTGCTTTAAATAATATAAAACCGTAAAAAAATGGGATGTGAAATGGGATGTGAAATGGGATATTACATATGGATACATTCTGTCCCGTTTCATTGTGCCCCGATATGCTAATTATATCTTATCTACGAGTTTTTCCCAAAAATGCAATTATTTTACTTAAACAAGAATAACATTAGTGTGTTATGTGGTATGTTTATAATAATACTCAAGTTATTCAATGATATTAAATGCCACTTACCTACAGTTAAAAATCGAAGAACGTTATAAGCATTCAACACAAAACAATGAATTGTCAATTACTGAAAAAGTATACGCGTTTTGATCGTGATAACGTTATCTATAATAACATGTAGGTATAACATTATTATTTTAGGCGAGACTGAGGGATATACGAAACGTTAAGTATTAAAAATAGCTGATACCCCGTTGTACCTCTCATCCACATTCTGCTCCGGGTTCCCCTAATAGATTGTAAAGATAACATTTTTTTTATAATTTTCTACAATTCTTTGAGAAATTATAACAAAAATACTTAACTATAAATACCATTTGTTGATTAAAAATGGACTTCAAGCAAGTCAAACTTTTAAATAAATAATTGTATTATATCAAATGCTAATTTGCGCTGATGCGAACGATTATTCTGTCTTTCAGTACTTACTGTTTTAAAATCGAGTAGGTATTAAATTATTAATTCGTAATTAACCAATTAACGCGTACGTCCAAAAAATCTTATTATAAAGTTTTCTCATTAATGGACTAAAGAAAAATACGACAATATAACTTAACTGTTCTCTGAATATTCAATTAATACAATTTATACTTTGTTTATAAATTAATAGTATAAATTATTTACCTCGCCGATTTCAACAGAAGTTTTTGATTTAAAATGAATCTAAATATGCGGAAACGACCCGTCTGAAAATGCGCAGCTAATACAATAGTTAATACCTATCTATACCATATATTTACGATGAAAGCGAGATTAATAAAAAATAAGTAGGATATATTTGAATATTTGAATATATTCTATGAAAAATTGAACCATTTTCCTCGAGAAAAATAATGATAACAACAGATAACACACTACACACCGCTATGATAATTGTAAATTAAATAATTTCTTAATCCCACACAAAACCTAAGTATTATATAGTTTAAATTGAACCTAATTTTATAGGTACTAAATTAATGAACCATATAATACAGAAGCAGAATGAAAGTTAGCCAATAAGGTAATAGGTGAAAATATATAACAGTTTGTTGAGATTTTTCCTGATTTTTTATAATTCTTTATTTTGATTTCGAGCAGTTTCAACTTGTAATACATTTCAAATCTCATCGCGAATAAACGAAACTAGGTATCAAAAATAAAAACAAACATTAATTACTTATAGGCTATAAACTATATAAGTTATAGCATAGGGTCAATTATTCTCCCTAATTGGGAACAACGTTTTTAATTAACGTTATCTAACAATTTGTGTGAATAATAATTAAACTAAGGTTAAAACTTTGAAGTTAATTAATTATTATAATATTATATCATTAGTCATTGCATATTTTAATTAGATGATATTATTTAAATAAAAAAATAAATATTTTAAATCTAATTAACAAACGATTGTCTGAAAACTGTGCACATTCTAACGAGGTTTCTAGGTATCTATCTACAAATACATCGAAAAATCAAAATTTAGTTAATATGTATTACATAATATACGCATATTCTATAGAATTATATGTACCATGGCATGAATAATTGAACAGAGTTCAGTAAATCTATATTTGCGTTGATAATTGTTTGAGTTTGAGTATAATGTTATACAGATATTACAATTGATTATAAATAATATGTTTATTTTACCATAATATGTATATATATGATACGGTGAATGTCGAAAATTGATAAATGACGTAATTTACCAAAATGATTCGATTATGTCGGTAAATGTAAAAAAACACATTTTAAACTAATATTTACATCTTTCACCGATCATTGACCTCATTTACTAAAGCTGGTGGTAAATGATGATAAACTATGAATTGAATGCGGAATGTAGAATTGGTTTTGTCCTCTTTTTGGATTCGATTGTTTTACTTGAAAATAACAACATAAGCTTAAATATGCCATAACTGCCTCCGTTGTCACATTACAATATTTTGTTTTTAACATGGCCATCATCCTATTTCTACCACCATAGCCTACTGCCAAATTTGCCGTGTGAATTACTTCGAACAACTCGTCTATTGTGACGTAAAATAAAACGCCAGAGTCATTTTCAACTATAAGTTTAATTAATTTTTCTTTTCTGCCAATTGTTACAACATCATATTTATGCATAATTCTATTATATGTTACCATTTTATTTTTATGTTCCAATTGTCAATTCTTTTACTTTTTGAATCTTGTTATTGTATTCTTCAGAACTAAAATAAAATATACTACCATCTCTCTTTTTACCGTCGATAATTTTTTCAATTGCTGCTTTAAACTTATTTTGATTCTCCATACTTTAAAATACAACTCGCTACAATATAGGTACCTACGCGTTGATACTAACTAATAAACTAAGAGACCATTTCATATTATTATTGGTTATCGGTGTTATTGCTAGTCGGGTTTTCGCTAATTTATCGCTATGATATTTTTAACTAGCGACGCTTTGTCGCATACCTATATATACTTATCACTGATCGTTTGCGAAACCGAAATGATAGTATCGAACATCAATCTCCAACTAAACTGGGGATTGACATCAATAACCGGGGAATGTCTACGTTCACAACATTTACCGCGTTTACATCATTCACCGTAACATATATATATATATATATATATATATATATATAAAGTTACTGTACGTAAGTGTTTGATAATGAAAGGTGGGTAATGGGTATTTCAAAGTTGACGAAATGACGAAGTTAGTAGGTACGTTACTATTATCAGATTCTTTAGTGTTTGGTGTATAGTTAAATCGAGTTGGCTATAGACATTAAAAACCAATGAGCACAATATAATTTAGCTATAGAGATGATAGTCGTATTTTTAACCATAGCAATAAAGTCCAAGGAAAATCTGTACACATCCTTCAAAATTAGACTAGTATAATGGTATGTGAACTTCAAGGAATGGAACCGAACCCTCATCAGTTATTATAAAAATTATTTTTTTTTAGGAACCAAGAATGGAAAGGTTTTTTAGCGTACCTATAGGTCATTTTTGGTATAAAAAAAATTCTAAAAGGTTTCCTGGGATAAAATTTATGTTAAATAACGACTGAACAAATATATATATATATATAAATATCAAATAACTTAAAAAATTATAATCGAATATTGAACATTAATAATAAGTGTTTAGCATCTTTTGAATAATGGATAATAAATGTATTAAGAAACCAGGGTAGCCGCTCAGCTTTATATTAGGTGTTAAGTGTACCTACCTACTTTGTAATATTGATTTTAAGTAATAAAGGATCTATTAAATTTTATTTAAATGATAACAATCATTGCATACGAAAAATTATTCGGATCGAAGCCAGCCTGTCAGCCAATATTTTTAAGGATAATTTATTATATTTTTTTAATCCAGCTTCTACAAAGTCATGGAGAAAGATGGAGAAAAAAAATTTCTGGCACCGCGACAGTTTTATCGAAGTGCAGTTTGCTCATTTAAATCGAGTACATTCTGTTGTATTAACAAAATTCATTAACTAAACGAAACATTGAATTTATTAGTAACATACGAGTAAATACACCAAACTACCAGAAATATTTTGTAGATGATACCTATTTTTATAAAAATATATTAAATKTTTATTTAATCTAATTTAATTAATTTTAATTTCAAAACGCCAAAACAGACTGCGATCTCAAGATAGAAAAATTAGACAAAAAATCTGAATTCAAAAACGTATTTAAGTTAACACAATAAAGTAGATATTATAAGCAAATATAAAACACATTATCTATATTTAATTAAAATAATTAAATATTAAAAGATGTATTTTCATCGGCAATACGTATCATCCTATAGAAATTGACTGATTACAAGAATAGTTTGTCGTACAAAGTGGCTAAGTGAAAGGTTAATGAGAACCGACCTCAACACAATAGGAGATTCTAAGTTAACTATATGGAACGTACTCTGGACCATCAATCGACCCATCGATAAGTTTGCGTAGGAAACCCTGTTTAGATAACTCGAGTTAGCGATCTATCATCAACTAAGTGCTGTAAACATAATCTATTTGATACTGTTTCATAATCATGAGTTATATGTAAAATTTTCAATAAATAGACAGCAAAACTCAAAAACTTTTTCTGAACCCGTTTAAGTTGGCGCATATCTCTTGTGGTCTGAGCCTCAAAAATAACAATAGCAAACTCTAAAATAGACATAACACTCGCACAGTATAATGCTTTTAGTTGAGTTAGTAATTTAAATTAATTTAGTTTTTTCTTTTGGAAGAAGAAGTTTTTGAGACATACATACGAACATTATTTGAAGGTGCTTATTTTAAAATTGGGGATGCTAATATCTCCTAAGTCCACCCTATTTGCCTATGAATATTATCTATATTATAACATTAACGGTTGTACAATTCGTTGTATACATATGTGGTTATTAATTCAAAGTAAAAATGTGTGTTAAAAACAATAATTAGTATAAAATATTGTATGATACATTGTAATTTTTATTTTTACGAACTATCATTGATATCTTGGGTATTAGTGGTGGGATCCGTCTTTTGCGACCTATGCGTTGTTATATAGTTTATAATATTAGATATTATTTATTATTATTGTTATAATTGCCAATATCAAACAAACTTCCTATTAATAAAAATAATTTGTTTTATTTTATATCATATTTGTAAATGTACTCATATATTTAAGTATTTAGCCATAATTAAAAATATAGGTAACGGGCTTTAAAATCAAATAACTTTTTTGAATTATTTACTCTTCATTTATTTATATATTATATGGCTAGTTATATGCAACAGTTACAATAATTTTTATCATTTTTTATGACTGACTGTAGAAGTCAGAGTTAATCTATATACATCAATAATAATAATAATAATAATAATAATAATAATTGGTATATTGTTTTAACTAATAACAATTTTTACAGTACAAGGTTTAAAATGTAACTTAACTTTTTATATTATTTACTTTTCTTGGGATGTCTTTATTAGATTAAACAAGTAAAAATTAATTGAATATAAAATTATATTATTAGAAATGCATAACATTGAAAATTATTGTACAGTTAATAATTGTTTACCATTTACTGTTTAAAATATAAAATATTTATAAAAATAAATTTGACACCATCACATACAATTTTGCATTTAGGCGTAGGTATATACTTCTTTGAAAGATCAAAATCATATTATCTGTTATTTCGACTCCGTGTACTACCTACCTAAAATGGTAAAAAGCCCCAATCGTAGTGTTCTCCGTCCACCGGACTTGTCAGGTAAAAATTTCCGGTTGTATTCAAATAATTGGATATTTATGATTTTTTTTACCAAAAAGGTTGATAGATATAGAACCCAAATACTTTAAACCGAATTATATTATATAGCAAAATGACGCACTCTATTTAGGATCTACTGACCCGATCCTGATGATGTATTCTAAACGTTGAAACCATTTACCAAGTTTATCAAGAGGATTATTAGGAGCACTTTATTATTCGTTTTAAACGGTAAATGTAAGTTCCATCCCAATGACAACATACGTAAATTGTGGCCCGCACTATTTCTCAGCTATACATACGCAAGTTGAGGCTAGTGTTTCTTTCGTGTACACGTTAATAAAAATATGCCTGAAGAAAATAACATAACGTGTGTCGTATACAAAAGACATTTCTTACTGCCTATTATTGTTTATAGTTTAAATCAAAAGTATTAAAAAAATAAAACCAATATTTTGAATCATATCAATATTATAACAGTAATATTGACAGTCCTGACTTCCTAAGTATGATAAAATGGTGAGAAAAATATGGGCTTTAAATTGGTAATATATATTTTAATGGAAAAATATACCTAGGACGCAATTTACAAATGCATAAAAAATACACGTGTACATATATCCAAAAAACATTCAAGACACAATTTACATCAAAAATATACAATGGGACGCAACTTACTATGATAATCTATAACTACTCAAAATTATCAAAAAATGACTTTTCTTTACAAGCAAGTTCATACGGGGAGAAATGTTTATTGTTACACATAAAAAATATTGAATTCTAATATAATTATTGTGTTCAGAACTTAACTGACGGCAATTTCATAAATATTTTCTATTTAAATAAATATATGAGTACCTTAATGGTAAATAATATATTTTAAATTTGAAACACCAACTACCTTACAAAGAAGTGTAATAATGAGCGGTATTGTCATGTAGTTTATCTAAACTCTAAAGTGCACGATTTTTGGATTCAACGAGATTTTCAGGAGAAATTATTGCATTAAGGCTTAAGTATAACAATACATATCATCGCCTTATACAGTTCCACGAGGTCGGGATAACATTATATGGATGCAAAACGAAATTTTTCCGGTATATAGGTATAAAGTTTTGCCTTTGAGCCCAAAGAACGCCCGTTAAACTTTGTTGTTTCGGGGATTCATTAAAAATGCACCCTGTATAAATTTAAAACTTCAACTATACGGGTTTACCCACATTCACGAAAGTTTATATACTGTCATGATGAAAGTTTTTAAAACAGCTTATGGCCTACGGGGCGTGTAATTTAATTTAGAGAAGACCCCATCTAACCTGTACACATCGTCGTAAGCGTTCCCGTAAGTAAACACACCGTGAAGAGACGAATGAGCATGCATGTCGATTACCAAGTCAAGTTCCATGTTCTGAAATAAACAATAAAATAAAAATATGTGTGTAAAAATTATTATATTTGTAATTACCTACATTAATATTATAAACGAAAATTTGCCACATCATAACAAGTATATTATTAATTAAATTAATATACCCATAGGTAATACATACTGTCCGTGTATTTACTAAGGATGTATTTAATAGTGCAAGAAATCCTATGTGTTGTACTGGAGAACAATTTTTTTAAATTTGTTTATTATAATATAATATTTAAGGTAAGGATTTCATTGCACTTAACTACTTAAGACTTTACTATGTTTTTAAAGCAACATAATATTATGTTTGCTCTTTTTGTAACAGATGCGTTTCGCATATCATTGACTTTTATTCTTTTTATGGCATTTTACTATGTGCCACATAAATTGACACGAAAAATGCCACTCAAAAGATCATGATTGTAGGAAAAATTATTTTTATTTTATTGATTTATATTTTATACCTAAGTTATATATCAATAGAAAATTTAAGATAAGAATAAAAATAAGTATTAAATCGAATATCTTCGGTAAAATTCGAAATTTCAAACGTTGTAACTAATTCAAGTCATACAATTCCAAATAGATATTTAAAACAAATTGTAAGACATTTTTCAGATTTTCAAACACACCTTCACAAACTTTTTAGATTACAAAAAAAATGAATATATTTTATATAGATGATATTAAGAATATTTTTGAACTTTAGACAAACTGAAGGTTTATTGAGCTCAAAAGACATCCCATACTCAGTCCTACAGCTATATATTTCTATATAAAAAAAAACGTTGTTGAAATTAACAATATACACTGTATATGTGTGCATATTTTTATGTTTGTATATCAAAAAACTTTTTCAATAATTCATAATTCGTATGAAATATACTTTAAATATTTTACTGAAAATTGTTAACTCACGTAACCCCACATGAATTTATTCAGTGGAGTCCATATTGTATTATCTACTTGAAGAATAAATGAATAAATAGTATCTGTACTTAAATAAAACTTGAATATTTGATTGTTGCCATTGTGGGAAATATTAAACTTAAATGATTTAATATTTTATTGATTATTATTGTATAGCAAAAATTTAAAATAGTTTTATGGTTTAAACTTTTCATGTATAAATTGATAGGATTTTGAATTCAAAATTTGAGTTTATTATTTAATGCACCATCTTAGCACTCCTCTACCACGTTACTATACTACTATTACTACTCATGGCATAATAATCTGGTATAATCTCAACTTGGACAAAATATTATACAGCAGGYGGAAACAAATTGTTATTATTACTATAATACTATGTTTAATGATTACGTAAGCATGTCTGTGTTTTTCGATGGACGATACCAAAAAGCAGATAGCCTGACATAGCATAAATGCACACGTACCAAGTTGTGGACATACCTACTAGTGTGTTTAGCTATGTATGCCACTGAGTAGCTTACCTCGTGCTTTTCAATTTCTATCAAGTGATTTTGAACGGCGTACAATATCGGATGAACCCATTGCGATATCTTGTGCCAAGCTCTGTTCAAGTCGATTCCCAGCAAATTGGTTCTGAAATAACAATACTCGAGTTATAGTATTCGCTTATGCCTTCTTCATCTGATAAGGATGAAACATGTCTCAAAAAAGTATTTAATATTTTACTATGATGTTATCTTCTGAGTTTTGACTACATATGATTATGTCATAATATCGTTGACTATAAAATGGTCTATTATGTTTGTTGTGTTAATTATTATATTATAATATATAGCAAACAAATGTGAATTAATAATCGTCTTCCACATAATATCCATAAATCCAATTAAATCAATATATCCACAACTGTTCGTATTTAGAACAACGTATTGTAATACAGTTGTCGGGAAATAATTACTTACCTAGAATTTCCTAAAGTGACTCCATCGGGGTTCATCATCGGTATTAGTTGAAAGACGACTTTTTTTCGAAGACGTACTACGACTGGATGGTTGCTAATCAAAAATTCAATGATCCCTGTCGCATAAAACTAATGATTTAAATCATTCTGGTTGTTGTTTATTTTTTAAGCTTTTACCTTGACAGACATAGGAACTGGGCGTCTCACATCCGTGCACCCTTCCTAATATCACAACGACATGTACTTTTTCGGTTGGATTCATATTCATTGGATTAGTAATAGTAACCAAGTCCAACCTTTTGTTTTGCTGGAATATAGAAAAAAAAAATTTTAAATTTAAAACTGTATAAGTAGGTATTCTTATTGAATATTAATTATGAAAGATAAAAAAAAATACACTTTACATTTAGGGTCAGTGTATTTTATATTATATTAAAATAATATACAGTTCATTAATAATTAATATTACATATTATACGGCTCGAATTTAATTTAAAATACTTTGGTATTTCATTTTTAAACTTCAATTCAACAATTTATTTAATATATTTTTATTTTGTTAAAATTTATTAAGTATTTACCGACTTAATTTTACTTTAACTCAGAATAAGAAACATTTTTTTGATAATCATAACTCATAAGGATAGTAAACTCACAGGGTCCAACGCTATTGAAGGGTCGTGCCAAAGTCTCATTATTTTTTTTTAGCTTTAAAACACATCCACATATGTTGAGGCCCCATTGCATTGCACCTCCACCCCCTCCCCCTAAAACCAATACTCAGAACTTCATTATATACATAGCAAAATAATATTATTCAAACATTCAGATAATTATGACAGACAAATTAAATAAATTTAATCATCGAAATTAAATAACCTAGTTTTAATATTAAAACAATATACATCTTATTATATTACATGTTTAATACACTTTAATGCAACAATGATTTAAAATGGCTTATAAGTTACAATACAATTATTTTTATATGATTTCTGTTTATATACTCGGAAGATTGAAGTTATAGACATTTCGAAATATTTGTCAATATTAATATGACCATTCAAAGACATACAGACCATACGATGGGAACTTCATGCAACTAATTGAAAACAATTTTTGTTTTTGTTTGTTTTAAATTGCAAGTCTCTACATTTATTTTTAGTATTTATGTAATACAATAATATGTATGATATGCCTATAGTAACATAATGGGTAGACAAATCACTTCTATATTATATTCGTCGTACTTCATGAGCTGGGTAGAAAATAATAATGACTAGTTAGTAGTTACTATGCATGCTTAAAAAATATAAGGTTTTTTGAGATAAAAAAATATCTAAATCCACACAAAGTCACGAAAATGGACAAAAACTATATATTTGGTATAAATGCGTATATGAAATGGGAAGTAACGCATTGGACCCGTGGTTTACTAGGAGTTAATTTTTTTTTTGGAGGTTAAGGGAAGTATGATGATTATCTATTGTATCTAAAAATATAATGATTGTGGAAAAGGTAACACCCTTCATCTCCTCAAATAAATCCATCAATCCATGTAGTATATTTTCAATGAAAAATCTATATACTATAGTATGCAAACATTATATATAGCAGTTTATGAAGTCTTGTAAAATTAATAACAATATTTAAGTTATTATACTATATCCGTATTAAAATTACCAAAACATCAAGTGCTTTTAAAATATAAATATTTTAATTGTAAATCAGTAATTACATAAAACGTACGCACACAAATGGAATTGAAAATAAATATTAAAGATTAAGATTAAAAATATGCTGTAATATGTTTAATAAATTAAAACTTAAAACAAAGGATTGAGTGGAAAAATTATCTATAACTTTTTCATCACTATATTCATTATAACTGTGTCTTTCTTGTCCCATCTTTGTCATATTATTTTAGATTACGCCAATGCACACAAAACGTCGTCACCATTTAAGGCTGACGTAAAGAAAATTGAATACAAAAGTCACTATAATATATACCATAAATACATATAGTCAATGTACCAAAATACATGGTTGATCGAACATTTTTACGCTCGTGTTAATGTGTTGTGTGGCATTATTATTTTTACGACTGACGACGCAATTTTACGTYTGAACTATTTTTCATTTTTTCGGGAAACGTATTATTTTACTGTTCAATAACTTACTGTAATCCGCAACATCATTAAACCATTCATGCTGTTTTGCAAAAAAAAACATAGCGCACTGCAGAATATAATACAGACGTGTTACATTGTGATACATTCGTCGAAACCGTGCCAACATTGAACAAATGCTTTTAAGATTATATTTGTGTATATAGTGCCTTTAATGCACGTATTCACTATTTTTGTTTTATAATGTCATTGCTTTTATTGACATTGTGCTTTACAATCTAAAGTATGACCATCGATTGTAAAATTCTATTATACCTATATGCTATGTACCTACTATGTAGTATGATCAATGGTATAGTCAATAAGTCAATGGAAGAATAAATATTTATTGATCATGGTATAATATAATATAATAATAACAGATGCATCAAAAAAAGAGGTATAGGATTTTTTCAATAATTTTCTACAGTGGCGTGTATCCAAAATATCTTTATTAAATCATATATTTATTAAAAACAAAAAAACTAAAATCTCCGTATGCAGTTTAAAATAATGTGTATGTACTGATTAACTACTGATACCTTGAATTATGACATCGTTTGTACGCAACTATTCAAAATTATCTGAGTAAATAAGAATAAAATTTCAATTCTTATTGATTCGCATTAATGATCATTATTATTGATTACCTACCATTTGTCACGAGATTTATGAAAAATATAAAATAAAGCGTTGAATTAAGAATATTAGCAAAACRTRGCACCAAAACTYTAAAARTAGCACTAAAATTCTAAAATTCTTCAAATATGCAAAAAATAGCAAAATAAAATTTCATATTTAGAGTMCGTGGTGCATTAAACAAATTTACAGCCCACTCTGCTATTTTTATCTCTATCCTATAATAAGTAGCAAATGCTATGAAATCTGAACCCTGGTTATAACTTATAAATTATAATATACCTACCTACTATCGTTTTGTTTTAAGAGCACGTCGCACCCGCATGTGTTGTCTCCGTCTTACACACGTACGGCATAGGAAATGTTCRTTCGCTAGTTTCAATAGGGTATTGTCAGTTTTGATATTAGAGTGAGTCCACCTATTATYAAACTTTTAGGTAGCAACATTATCTGTGTTCTCTCGTTGGTTTTTTACGATATTTTAATTTTTAAGTGAGTTATGAACATTTTAAAATATTCATAATTTAAGTATATACCCATAACTCACTCTAATATCAAAACTGACAATACCCTATTGAAACTAGCGAACGAACATTTCCTATGTCGTACGTGTGTAAGACGGAGACAACACATGCGGGTTAGAGTGTTAGACGTCCTCTTAATAATAAAACTATAGGTACCTTTATAGCCATATATAATAGTAGGTACTAACTATGACACTACTCACTACTAAAATACTATAATTTATATTTATATTGTATTTTTCTRTAAACACTTAATTAGTTTATTATTGTAATAATATTGTCCTTCTAGCAATACCCACCCAGTACCCATCCACCCACCCATATTTAAGGTGTTGCTTGAGCAACACTTGGACCCTAGGTTACGCGCCACTGATTTTCTATGATCATATTTACTACTAGAAAATTAATTAATTTGTAATCATTAGAGCTTCTTTGCAACTATAAAGTATTATCGACAAAATACTATTAAGTAATAAAAAAAATTTACAAATAAAACTAATTATTGATAACAGTTTTCAATGGGAAATATAAGRATAGTTTAAATCTAAGTTTGATGTATATTTTTAGTAGGATTATTTTGTATGATTTTGTATATATATATATAATCTCTAAGTATTAACTTTTTGACGAATTTACTTTTCGTTGAAATTAAATTTGATATTTATAGTGTAGTGTAAAAGGTGTGATCTATAATACACAATATTTGAACTTGGCTTTTAGATTGGATAATTACATTAGTTTTAAAACCATACATTTAAGGCACTAATGTAAAACACAGCCATATAGTGCCAAAAATAATAACATTATTGATATAAAATGACTAGTAGGTACCTACACAACGTAAAATGATTGCTTTTAGTTAATAAACTACGTAACTATATTATAAATTATACCTATATCATGTTTTAATATAATTTTCAATGCATTTAACTCATTTTGAATAAGAGAATGTCAGCGCACTATTTGTTTTCTCTCTTTAGCCCACGCTCGACATAGACAAAACGCAATTACGCAGAATTATTTTTTCTATATCTTAAGTAATCTTAGAGTAAAATCACCCATTGACCATTACAAAAAAAATAGAGAATATTATTTTCGAGTGTATGACATATCGATTTGTCTAAATATTGTCTCAAAAAAATTTAAACATCTGTTGACTATAATTCCTCCGGAACTACAATTAGCATTGCAACTCGCTAAATACTATAAATACATTTCACCGCTCAAAATGTTTAAAAGGTCTTATTATCAACGAGTTTAAATACAACAAATATAATAAAAAATACATTCAATAGATCTTGGTCTGGCCTCAGCGCAACCTGTACGGAAATGCTCTCCGTCACAGGTCTCCAACCAATTGCCAATCCTGCTTACCAAACATTTATAGTCTAGCCTATAAACTTACCTATCTGCACACATAAACAATGTTTGTGATTATTTAGGCAGTATCTTTAACATATCATTTAKATTTACAACATTTTTTTGTTTATTTTGAAAGTCAAATACAAAATCGAATAAAAATAAAAATATTAAATATAATATCGATATGTCATTCCCTCAAAACTATTATTCTATATCTTTTTTTTTTTAATAGGTGATTTTACTTTAAGATTACTTAAAACATAGAATAAACATTTCTGCGTAAATGTGGTTTGTCTATGTTGAGCGTGGGTCAGATAAAGAAAACAAATAGTGCTCTGACATTCTCTTAAGTCRTCCTCGTGTTTATTACAATATCCCATACAGGCCATACACAAACCTATTGTATTATTATTTAAAATTTAAATCAAACTTTAAAAATGTATTACGATCGATTGTCCTAGTAGTTCACGTTTGAAGTAAGGCAGCTTTTTTTTTTCAATCAAAGACAAATAGTTTTGCTGCCKAGTGTACGAGTACGGAAACGAGTAGGAAAATTGATAGCTATCGTCGTCCTTGTCGAATGAAAATAATATGCTGAGAACGTAGTTGTTGTCGTGATACAACGATCTGTGGTAGTGCACCCTGTATACCGGTATGCGATACCTGAAATAAGCAACAATAATATTAAGACAGTTGATTTATAAGTTTATTAAATGTACTTAAAATCTAACGAAGTAAGTAAATTTTCATTCATAAATCATAAATTTTTAATTTGTAAATTTGAGTAAAACTTGGACCCGTGTTTTAAGTCGAAATAATATATTTTACTAGGTACTAGTCCATACCTATTTAGATATGCTGCACGCGGTTATTATAGTAAATAGTAAAAAGTTTTGAACTGCATAAATTAACTACTAAATTCATAACATTATATATTCCTGCAGTTAAGGTTCGGGTGCAGATCTCAGATGTGTATTACTTAAGGATGGTTAGGAAATTATTTATTTAATTCTTATTATGTTTATTGAACAGTTGAGCATTATTTTAAATGTGATGACGCTGTTGTATTTATGTGCTTATAATGGRAGSGAGGGTAAAATCATGCTTATCTATGATTGTTTTTATGACTATTGTTAACTTGAAAATATCCGTATTATAATTTTTTGTCTTATAATAGTTAATAATATTACTAAAAGACACAGATTTAAATTATTTAAGTTATAWAAGATTATAACTATACTATGCACACGTTGAAAAATAGTTGTCTGCGTGTAGCTAGTTAATAAAATAAATATAATAAGTTTMGATTACTTATGTCAAGGTAGTCCATCTTATAGGAGTATGAGGCTCCTAAAGTCATTTTGTTTGAACCCCTCAGAAAACTTGATATGTAGTAATATAGGTATTTAATAATAAAATTGTATATAGTGCTATGAGTGTGATAAAAAAATATCAATAAGGATGTAGGAGACGGCGACAGTCGATCATATCACCGACTAATAAAAAATAATAATTATGCATCAGATTAATCACTGCCGAATATCAGAATATTCTATTGATATTGAAAAACTAGCTTTTAAAAAACAGTGCCAATCACCAGAATATTAATTTTAATTGTAATATTTAATTAACCTTATCTTCAAGTAATTATAAATTAATATTAATCTGTAATGTGATAACTAGTGTATTATTATAAAAGCTTTGCTAAAATATGTTTTCTATGAAAATAAATATAAAACTATATTTTTTTCCTTTTCGAGGACTTCAGTGTCTAAATAAATGTTTAAATTAGTTGGTGAGTTGTTCGACAGCAAAAGATTAGACCAGGCGTGTCCAACATTTTGTGAAGACTGGGTCACAACAYATGGGTAGAAGTTGTTTTGGGCCACATACTTTTTGTCAATACTACCATTGATTAAATATAAAATAATATTGTATATTTAATCAATGTTAATACATTCAAATTTAATAATTATATTCTATAATATAACAATACATTTTTTTATAATTTTACAATAGCGAATAATAAGCAGAAATATTTTTAAATACACATTTTTTCTCGTAATATTATTTATTAATATATTATACCTATATACAATTAATTAATATTTTTTAAAGTTAAGCGAGCGCCTCATCACAATCGACCACGAGCCGCTGGTCTAACCCATCCTGCCTTATGTGATCACTGGATTAGAATCGATCGTTAAAAGGAATCAAAAATTAAAACCTAATAACCAAATATGTGTGTGATATTATTTAATCGATATATTTAATTTTTCGTAAATACATTTAATTTTTTTTGTCATTTAGGTAGCTCGGAAAACAACATATTGTGTATAGACAATATGTACAAAAATTATCMTTTTTGACTTCGGTGAGCAATTATATGTCGATATGATTGGTATCTACATTGATACTTGRTCATATAATATTATGTGAAGAACACACACCTCACAATTCAGCTCAGCGTTGTATTTATCAACTCGTACAACTGTATAAATAAGTAGTTTAGCTATTATTATATATTAAATTGGGAGCCGTATTATCAGTGAAATTTATAATTGAACTATATAATAGTATAATAATATGTGCATACACCTATGTATAATAATTTGATGGTTTGTTAATTAATAATTTGCAGGGATACGAATAATTGAAGTGTAGTGGACGAAGCTTCCACMCTCTACCTCGTTCCAACAGTATCACTCTTATAGCTTTCACCCCCCCCTCCCCCACACACACACACCTCTTCCACGACTGACACAGGACTCACTCGTTCGTTAAACTCAAATATTCACGTGTAACGCAACAGTGACGCCGTTGCCGGTTAAGCCCGAATAACGGTGGTACACGAGTATAATAATAATAATATTAAATTGATATTCGTCACGAGGTTCATGTTGAAGTGCGTCACTAAAAAAAAAAAAA